AAGGTAGCCAGGAAGACAATTAACTTCACAGGCTGCACATGGAGGAGAAGCCAGGGAGCATGGAACTATTTGAAAGCAGGATTAGCTGTGTAAATACAGATGTGGGCTGTATTAAGGCAAGTAGCTGCCAGCAGATGGGGGCTGCGAAGAAAAGCCCGCCCCTTCCTGGCAAGAGAATTAGGTGTGGGAAAAAGGACTGAGGGGAAGAGGGCTAAGATGAGGCTCCCTGGACTTAAACCCAGCACAGAGTGGGCCTAGATTCCCTGTCAGACGCTGAAGGAGCAGGAACATGGGGCAGTGTAAGAGAAGACTGCCTAGGACTTGAGGGCTATGTCTACACTCGCGGCTTCTTGTGGCAGAAATATGCAAATGAGGCTAAGCGTGGAATATCGCCGAGCCTCATTTGCATACCTAATGAGCCACCATTTTTTTTCAGAAGAGGCTCTTGCACAAGAAGGAGCATCTACACTGCCCCTTCTTGCGCAAGAAAAACCCTCTTGCGCAATGTCGTTACACCTATTACTTTTCAGGAAGAATGGCATTGCGCAAGAGGGTTTTTCTTGCACAAGAAGGGGTAGTGTAGATGCTCCTTCTTGCACAAGAGCCTCTTCTGAAAAAAAAATGGTGGCTCATTAGGTATGCAAATGAGGCTCGGCGATATCTTTGCATATTAATGGTGCAAGAAGCCGTGAGTGTAGACATAGCCTAAGGGTAAAGTGACTTTGTTCTCTCAGAGATAACAAAGGGGGAACATTAAGTGATCCAGCCAGAAGAGAGAACACTGTGGTTTGAGAAGCTGTAGGCCACAGGGAGAGACAAAACAATGGCATTCAAACCATGAAGGGGGCACTGATCTCAAGAGCTAATCCCCAGAGCAACCAGGGTTGGTGCCAGAACAGCAGTAAGTGGTACACCCCAGGAGATGAGACAACAGGAAGTGTAGCACAATTGTGATCATGTACTATGTATAACCAGACAATTAATCCACGCCTTTAGATAATCACTTGTAAGTATATTGCAGAGAAGGAACCATGGAGGCCCCTTTCTCTCTCCCTAACCTAACCCACTGTGTATGCATTGTCATACTTGGTACGCTGTGGTCACCTTGATGTCATCTGGGGCATGGAGGAGATAAGTAACTTCCCAGCATAAAACAGAATTTACCTTTCATGGAGGAACTGTATTCTAAAAATATCGTGGGCAGAGATGCAGTGCACCTCTCCTATGGTTGTATGTGCTTTGCACTGCCAACATGAATTAAAAGGTTGTAACTTATTTTTGATCATTAAACAGCTAAAAGGCTGTGTTTACATTGGCATGATTTTGCACAAAAGCGCTTGCTTTTGCGCAAAAACATGCTGCCTGTCTACACTGGTGGGGAGTTCTTGTGCAAGAACACTGATGTTCTAATGTGTGAATCTAACAAAACATGTATGGTATCATGAACTTTCAGATGAAGAAGTGGGCTTTGCCCATGAAAGCTCATGATACCATCTACATGTTTTGTTAGTCTTTAAAGTGCTACCAGACTATTTGTTGTTTTTTAAGTTTTTTCTGTTACAGACTAACTTGGCTACTCCTCTGAATTATTTTATTGTTAATCATGAAGTCCTCTTGTGCCTTGAGGGCACAGCTCCACACTGAGTGAGAGTTCTGGGAAAAGCACTCAGTTAGCAGGCCCAACTCCTCCTCATCTTCCAACATCCATGCAGAAGTGTAGTTGTTGTGCCATTTCAAGAGACTCTCCACTCTTTTCTGTGCCCAGCCACATCAGCTAGTGGGTAAGGAGGGAATGAGACCATGGCACTATAAGCTTCCCTCCCCCTTTGCAGACTCTAGTGCCAACAAATGCATTAGCTCTGAGTAATTTTTTTCATGCAGGGTGAGTAGCACAAAGACAATGGTGAAAGGGACGGCCATTACCCCATTGCATACTTGTGCTTAAGCCAAACACAAGCTTGCCTTTACATTTCGAAAGCAAGGTAACCAATCAAACCGCTCTGTTTAGCAAAAGGTGTTAATTGTACCATCAATTTGAAATATAATTTCAAAAAATGGTTTTAAAGCAATTTCAGATAGTTCACTATGCCTTTGTCCCTCTGCCAGTTTCTGTGATTTTCACAATACTTTTTTCTTTCCCCTGTTACTGTGTGAAGGACCCACAAAACCACTAGGGAAAACTGTCTAATTATACAGAAAACCATAAAATTACTCTGAACAAAGTGCTGTCAAATACATAAACAAAACAAACTGGGGGAAAAGAAGGAAAGCATTTTTCACTACTAATTTCTTTCAGCTGTAAACTGTAGGATCATTACATGTAACTTATCAACAGGTTGATAAAATTTTCAGACAGTAGGATAATTTTTAAGTTGGCAGTATAAATTGTTAAAATGTAATCATGTGTTCTACTTTTTAGAAATCTATAAAATGGAAAAAAATGTAGTAAATTATAATATCAAATTATCCCTCGTATAATTACACTGAAACCAATGGATTTGTACCAGGGATTAATTTGCCCAATGGTTTAAAACAGAGCATAGTTCTTTGAAGTAACATACATGTTCAGCATAACATAATCCAAAATAAAACGTTATAAAAATCACCTAAGAAAGCACTAAAATAATTTGGGAACAATAAATAATTCTGGATTAGACACTGGAGGAACAAATCCAATTCCCACCAGTATCAGAGGTAAACTTCTCTTGCTTTCAATGGGATAAGAGTTTGACCCTAAGGGAACACTTAGTTTCACCTAGGGGCTGATCCTGTAAGCCTGCCATGTATGGGATTCTCATGATGTATATGAGGTTTACAGAATTGAGCCCACAATTGACATCATTCAAAGATAATGTCACATTTTTAACTTAAAATAAAGATTACTTCTTTGTCATGAATATTTTAAGCCTGTAAATGTTTCAGGGAACAAAAACAGATCAAGAAAAATATGGATTAGTATACTTAATAGACCCATAATTTGTCTTTTTCAAATATTGGAATAAAATTGGAATACTTCATTGAACATTAATCTTTTAAAAATTACTATTAAATTAAGGCATATACACAAAATTATGTACTTGGAAAACTACTGAAAAAAGCAACTTTGGGTATTTTCAGCCAAAGTTTGGGTATTTATTTGGTTGATAATCATCTGAAATTTCTTTTATATTTAGGAGAATCTATGCATATCTCCTCCCAACACAAAACACACAGAGAGGGAGGAATTAATCATTAGAGTTTACAAAGACAATGAGAAAAGAGAAATAAAAGCTCTGCAAAAACTGTTTGTCTCCATAGTTTGTCATCAATAGCAGATGGATGGAAATATCACTTTAAAACTCACTGAGAGCTATCTTATTGAAAGCTGACCAGCAGCATGATGGAGCTGGCCATCTACATGACACACTGTAGTATAAATTATTACATTAATTTTCCTTCTGAGTGCAAGCTATTGACATCTATTCTTAACACTGTGCCCAGCTACAATTTTGCACACAAAACAGATTGCTTCATTTAGTCTTACTACAGGAGAAGTTGGGAGTGGTCATCTCTGCCTCCTAGTCTCACAGGCAAATGTTTTAGTAAAACATTCTCCCTCCCTGTGCTCAGAAAGCATGAAAGCACACAGAGCCAGGAGTAGCCAGTCAACGGACCGATTCTCTCTTCCACAGGCTTTAAGTCGACCCTCCAACACATTAAAAAGGTTTCAGGCTTCTTTGAAAAAAAAACCCTCAGCCAAATGATTTGTTGTGTTCTATCCAGCTGTGTTTTCATTAGTCCAAATCACTCTCTAGTCATCGTCCTACATAGTGCACTTGATGCGATTTAAAGTGTGCAGTCTGACAGACAACGAACGTCTACATTTCATTTTGCCATTTCCAAAAGACCAGAAATCTGTCAGTATGCCACAGTACAGTATAAAAGAATGATTTAAGGGACTGTGTACATGCCATGGAGGATACCCTTTGGAAAGTTGATTCTCTCATAGTGGTTCAGCTCTATATCCTCCACTGAAACTGCGTCCAGATGGAGTCTGTTTACTTTGCACCTAATGAGAACTGAAGGAAATGTAGCGATGAAATATTAAAACTCTTCCTTGCTCCTAGTACTGCTGGTTTAATCTTTGTAAAGCCCAGCTTGAACAAAAAGGTGAAATCTTTAAGGTCAGACATCACTGCTCTCTCCCGAACACGTCTTTAACCAGAGAAAGGGATATAGGCAAGGCTGGTGGTTGTTACTCTGGACAGCTTTTGACTCGCGATAACTAATTTTTTGCAGATGTGTCAAAAACAACCTGAAATGCTGCGAATCCTAAGGGTTCTACAAAAGTTGAACCCCCCTCCACCTGACAAGCACCAGCCCTGCTATCAGCTAGCGCCTCTGTACTCTACTCTGAATCTTGCTCCCCACAAATTCCACCTTAAGCTCTTTTACATATGGTACAAATGCACAGACGACTGCGCTGAAAAGCTATAAGTTTTCATGAATGACTGAACCGAATGCACTGTGCGAGGAAGCAGCAATCCTCTGGGCATTTTGAAAGGGGATACAGCGTTGGATCTGAACAAATTAGAAGCAGAGGGAACACACGTTATTCTTCTAAAGGCACCTCAGTCAGAATTGCTTTGACTATAGGATATTTCACTTGGGGGGGGGGCAGTTTCCTTGCTTTGTCTCCACAAAGTGAAAGCAGCGGCAAAAAGTAAGCGGGATTTGATCGGGAGTGGTGAAGGAGATCGGACAGGACAGTTAGTCCTTTTCCTGCATTTCTAGATAGATGCCAGCGTTGGGGGGAGGGACAGTAATGAGTAATTTAAACTCTTATAATGGAGGATTTTGCAATGAGGCATGCACAAGATCTTCCTCAACAGCGGCCCCTGCCCTGGGGCACTGCCATCCTGGATGAGTGTCCTAGTGGAGAAAAACATCAGCCCGACCCCTCTCCTCCCCCATGCCCGTGGCCTGCCTCTCTTGGGACTAGGGCGAGGTGGGCAACTCACTGTAGAAGATGTACTCGGTGTAGCTGCTCCAGATCTTGTCCTCCCTGTACTGGTTGATGAAGGCGGCGGTGCCGGTGGAGTTACAAGCCACCATGTGGAAGCCGGCCTCCGAGAGCCGGTCAAACGCCTGCTCCAGGTAGGTGAACTTGAGGTAGAAGCGGGCGGTGTATTTCTCCGGGGGCCGGTCGGGGTCCCGGCTCTCGTTGAGCGTGTCCCCGAACACCTCCTTGGCCAGCGCGATCCTGCCGCACACCATGATGCGGGCCACCCTGCGGAACTTGGCGTCCGCCTGGCTCTCCCGCACCGTGGTGTACGAGCCCCGGTAGCCCACGGTGAGGAAGCCCGAGCGCTTCTCCAGGCCGGCCCCCGCCGTGCCCCCGGCCCCCGCCCGCAGCAGGAGGTCACCGCTGCCCTGCGAGTTGCTGTCCTCCAGGTCGCTCTGGCAGCCCTCGTCGTTGAGCGAGCCCTGCTTGGTGACCTTGGGCGAGAGCAGCTTGACCAGCTCCCCCAGCTGGAAGTACTCGGCCTCCCGCAGCAGCCGCTCCTTCTCCGGGAAGTGCTCGGGCAGGGCCAGCTGCTTGTCCCGCAGATAATCCAGCACGTACCTGAAGAGGAAGCCGTCGCGGTCGATGAAGAAGCGCGCCCGGCTGTCCCTGGGCAGTTCCCTGGCGGCCGCCTGGCTGCCCCGGCGCGGGGCGAACATGCTGGCCAGGGTGCTGTCCGGCACGCTGAGCAGCGTGGAGTGCTTGGTCACATACACCTGCCCGCCCACGTTCAGCTCCACCACCTCGGGGAAGGGGCAGCAGGACGGCGCGGCGGCGGAGCCCATGTCACTGATGGGCAGGATGCCGCCGCCCGTGTCCTTCAGAGCCATGGCTGCGATGGACGGAGGGAGCGTCTCCAAGCCCCCCTCGCCTGGACCGCGCGCGTCTGCTCGGGCGGACCCGCTGCCCCCTCCCCCCCTTCTCCCCGCGGGCTCCTGGCGACGCCGCGCGGCTGGGAGGGCTCGGCCCACGTGGGCGCCCGGCTCTGGGCCCCAGCTGCAGGGACTTCCCTGGGGAGAGTCCTCTGGCCCTCACTGCCCCATCCGGAGGGCTCTTCCCGGGCGGGGCTCGCCTCAGTGCCCCCAGCGCTGGAAGCGTCGTCCCGGGCGTGGGCCCCGCTCCCTGCCTCCACAGAGAGAACCAGCACCAGCCAGGGGGCTTTCCCGAGGCGCTGGTTCGACCCCCAGCCTGCAGAGTGCGAGGGACGGTGTGTGGGAGTGGGACCGGCTCCGCCCCCGGGGGAGCAGCCCTGCCTCTGTCCGCCGCTGCCTCCCGGTTGTGCCTGAGCAGCAGCAGCAGCTCCGAAAAGGCGCGGTGGCTGGCACTTTGCCAGCAGCTGTCACTTAAAGGGGCAACCAGAAGGGTTTTACTAGGAGTGGGTACACGCCGGAGCCCGCCAGGTTTTATCCCTAGTCTCCTGTACGCTACCTCCGAAATGACTCTGGTGAGCTAGAAGAAGCTGCACGACTCTTAAATTCAAACGGTAGAGCTGCAGGTATATAACCAAAAAAATTAGCCCTGGCACTTTGCCAGCAGCTGTCACTTAAAGGGGCAACCAGAAGGGTTTTACTAGGAGTGGGTACACGCCGGAGCCCGCCAGGTTTTATCCCTAGTCTCCTGTACGCTACCTCCGAAATGACTCTGGTGAGCTAGAAGAAGCTGCACGACTCTTAAATTCAAACGGTAGAGCTGCAGGTATATAACCAAAAAAATTAGCCAGATCCAGCAGGGTACAGGCTGTGTTGGGAGTGGCGCAGATTGGGGGATGGAACTGAAGAATCAATAGATCGTCTCTATTTCTGGATTTGTGGCTAAAATTTGGAAAGATCCTGCAACCAGATCTGAGTTTTTCCTATGCTGTTTCCGTGGGGTGCATCAGGGTCTGGATTTTCAAGAGGAAGTAAGAGCAGCTAAATATATTATTTACTTAGGCAGTGGAACTTGGGTCAGTAGAGCTCCCCAAAAATGGCAGGTTCCATTAAGATCCAGATGGCACATCCCGGTTTGGGTGGCACTGTTGAACCAGGACGCATTGCTATTTGTAATTCTTGTTAGTAGAGAAGCGTCTAAATTTGTTGTTCTGCGTTTAAACTGTGGAATTTGCAAAGTAAGAGTTAAAAACCAGCTGGATGCTGGTTTCCAATCTACATATTTTCAATCGTTCATGAAAAGATGCACGGGGCTAGATTTTTTATATATATAAGATGAGTTTCAGAACTACTTGATACTTATGTTGCCTAAATATATGTTAGAATTAGGGGTTTTGAGGCCTAAAATCAGCTAGACCCTTCAGATTGCAAGTGCCACATCTTACTATTTGCAGCCTATTATGCTCCGATAGATCAGATGTGGGGGAATTTTGTTTAATACAGTAAGAGCTGCTAGACTTGCTCTCTGTTTAGGTAATAGAAATTGGAATTTGAGTCAGCAACCTGCAGGACCTGCCTGCCACATCTAGGTTTTTTGTTCTGCTGTTGTATCATGGCTCAAGATATTTTGGTATAGTAGAAGGAGCTAGACTTGTTCCCCAATGAGGTAATGGAATTGGAGCACAAAACCCAATAGGCAGGTAGATCCCATTTTTCTCCTTTTCTGGCATGTCTCACCCAACCAGTGGGGGGCACTGATCACCAAGTTCCTGCACTGGACATGTCAAAGAGGATCATAAGAAAACTCAATCTTTCATTTCACAGAAGTAAGGAAATGGTGGGAGTGACTGAGTTTAGATTAAACTACAGATATGTTTGATACAGTAAAAATGTTTGATTTAGTATGATCTTGACCACTAACTGTGGGGTTAAAAAATGAAGTGGTCATGAGACTGAATGATCTAGAGCAGTGTTTCTCAACCAGTGGTACTAGTATCCTTAGAGGGTACCCAAGAGACATCTGGGGGGGGTATGTCAACACAACTGAAATTTGGAGATAACTGAATTTCTGTTTTAAGTTTTACAGCACTTTATTATTTTTGTACTTTTTACACCCAGAAATTTCATCTCCCACCCGACTACGATTAAGTTGTTTAAACAAAAGTGTTGAAATGGTAGAAAAAAATTGTGTGTCTGAAAATTGTAGGAACTGGGGGTACTTACAATTTTTTTTGAAAAAGGGTACTCTATAAAAAAAGGTTGAGATACATTGATCTAGAGGAAAGGGTGTTTTACAAAAATGGATTGAATTTCCCTGTCCTTTTCAATGTTCTGGGTTGTTTTGTTTGAAATGTTCACAAAGGACAGAAATTTTGGTGTTCCAATGCCTGGTGCTTGGAAGATACGGTGGTTTGTTCACTGGTCCATTTTAGTGTCCAGTAAAAATAATTTCTTTGTTTTGCTTTAGGATATCCTGACTCCTCTGAATTCAGTGAAAGTTCTGTTATTGATTTGAAAGTCTCCCTTTTGCAATTAACAATTGGATCATTTTTATTTATGAGATCCAGGACTGGAACATGAAATAGCTGGGAGGGGACGCTTCAGTGTAGGACTGAAATGTGGTAAGGCTTTTTAGGGAACTAATCTTTCACTCCCTACCTACTCTTCTTCCCAAAGGTATTGTGCCCATTCCTGCCTGGTGTCGTGCCTCCAGTCACCACTAAGGCAGTAATTGATTCCCCCAAACCTCTCAACCTCCTATGATGCTCTGGTTCTAGAAGCATTACATATTTAACAATCTTCAGTGAGGTTTCTAAGGATGTTTAACTTGAATAATGCAAATTAGAACATTCGCCATGTAGGTTTTTCCAAGTTCAGCAGATTTCACTCAATACTTACATAAAAGTTAAACAAAGATGTGTGTAAAATAGATGTTGGGCTATAGGAGAACATTTGTTTTCAGGTTCATTAGGAAGGAGGGAGAATCTTTCCATTTAATGCTCTGCCAGTGTTTCAGTAATCTAAATAATCTTTATTCTGAATGCTAGTCACTGCTTTGTTAAAGATCACACTTGCCAGTTATCATCCCATTGGCTCTTTTTATTTAATTAATTAATGTATTTATTTATTGGTGCTCAGGTACTAAAGTCCAATCCTTCTTCCACTGGAGTCAGTGACAAAAGTTCAATGGACTTCAGAGGACCAAGAACTCGTATGAATGGTATGGACACCACATGCCCAGCAGAGGAAGCATCATCATTTTGTTATGTGTTTGTGTAATGCTTAGCACAATGAGATACTGGTCTTTTAACCATATGCCTTGATTAAGTGAGGACCTGTGATGAATGGTTAAACTAAAGAGATTGGAAAATAGAAGTTGTGCCATGACCTACCACCTTTATTTACATGACTATATGTGTGGGTTAAGGTTTTTGTTTCCTGCCCTCAGTTCTTCCAGTTTTCAAATGGAAATAGAATGACTGAAAAGAGTTACTTTTGTCTGGAGATTATTGTTCAACCCAAAAGAGATGGTTGGAAAATTTACACAATTTTTTTTTCAAGTTTCAGTCAGCTCTGCTTTAACTAGTTTTATAATTAAGTAAATACTTAAATAATTAGAAGTATATTCTAAAGAGGAATAACTTTATCACAAAAGAGTAATCCATATTAAGGCAAATGGTTGAAATACAATAATTTTAATACGTATTCACTGTTGTAATCCTAGGTCATTACAGCCTTATGGCATGTGTACATTTATTTGAATGTAAATGGAAAAATGAAGGAGGCACACTTAGCTTGAATCAGTTTCATGTAAAATTTCAAAATATAGCAACAGAAAATAAACATGATGCATTATTCTTTTCGGGCAAAGACCAAAGAGTAATTGAAATTTGGTTCATAGTTCTGGGCAAAAAGGAAGTACAGAAATTCCATAGCCTTCATGGATGCCCTGTTAATAAGATGCCTGTGGTGCTTTGGAAGGGTCTTCCTCAAATTAGTGGAATTGTGCCTGTGTATAGATTTGCAGAGTCAGGCCTGAAGAACACTTTGTCACCTAGTAAAAGTCCTAAGTGATACATGTGCTGCAGAGTTTAGTACTGTAATAAATATAGAAATTATAGGTGATTACTTTGCATTCCAACAAATGACAAAAAAGTTGTAGATTATAGTGCCAGTTTACAAAATTTACTGCCCAATTTATTTATTTCTAGCACAAGTATGTTTAGATCACATTATATTGTAATAAATTGGAGCCCAATTCTGCAAGCACTTACATAAGTCACTTTACTCATAGGATAAGGGACCTACACATACACAGTATTGTAAGTTTACATAACACTTTATACATTACAATTAGAATTATACATTAGTTAGTTACACTGTTGGGACTGAAATGAGAATATAATGGCATGCACATTTAATTTTGAGAAAAACATGGAGACTTTCCTTGTAGAGTACATAATTACTGATTGTTCTAAAAGTAACTATGGTTATTCACTTTTATTTTGTTTGGAGTTCCCAAAAGGGTTTCATGTGTTCAGCAATAGATCTGATTTAACTTTAACTAGACAGGCTAATCCAGAAGAGTTTGGGAAGTTTGCTACACAAGTATTGTGGGAGTTTTGGTTTTTAATGGTTTCTGTGTACTCATGTTCCAAAAACATTTACCGAGGTTGCTGTAAAGTAGACTCTGGTATATTGCGACTGCATGAGTTTGCCTGAATTGTTCCTTACTTAAATTAAATCTGCAAAACTTGATGTGTCCTCAGGACCCAAAAGCATTTATAAAAGGTTGCAGCAAAGTCAGCTCTGTTATACTGTGACTGACAGAATTATTCCCTTTATTGCATCACAATGTACCCAAAAACATGTTTTCCAAGTCCATTTAGCATAATTAAAACAATATTTCAATAGAAACAACATTTTTATTAAAGCAGATGTGTATGGAAGGTAACAGATTGTCATTATGTTTGTCACAAGAAAAATGGCCCATAAAAGCTCCTTTTTCCCTCTTTAACCCTAGTGTAGTAAAACTAAATATGACAGAAAAAGTGCCGATCTCAAAAAGCCACATTCCCATAAGTACTCAGCCAGATTATTGGTTTGTTTCTAGGGCAGTGGACAATTTTGATGAGAATTTGCACTGAACTTCTATCTGACTATTTTAATGGCATTTGGCATTTGAATATTACACATCTTCAGTTCAGGGAACCAAATCACCCTGTGGCTCTCACTAAGACGACTCTCTAATATCCATGAACAGTTCAAGTCCAGAAGCACCAGGTTCTGACTGTATGGGTACGTCTAGACTACAGGCTTTTGTCGACAGAAGTTTTGTCGACAGATACTGTCGACAAAGCTTCTGTCGATAAAGAGCGTCTAGACTACAGCCAGTTCTGTCGACAAAGCAAGCTGCTTTGTCGACATGGCAGTGTAGACGCAAAGGACAGTTTAGATGCAATAATGCCTTCTGTTGATAAAACTCTGTCGGCAAAAGGCATTATTCCTCGTAAAATAAGGTTTACCAGCGTCGACAAAACTGCTGAGTTCTGTCGACGTTATGTCGACAGAACTCAGCGGTAGTGTAGACACAGGTTTAGTTTTGTCGACAAAAGTCTACTTTTGTCGACAAAACCCTGTAGTCTAGACACACCCTATATGTAAAGACATGCAAAGCAGAGCAGAGTCTCTCAAGCCAGGAGCAGACAGAATTCTGAGCTTATGTGTGCTGAGCCTAGAGGTCTGCTGGACAAGATTGAGAGCTTCCCAAAGAGGTCTAGCCTGCCATCCTTTTGTCCCTAATCACTTAACAATAGGGTTAGACTACAGAACATAGTTTTTAAAAGTCAGCTCCTAAGCACAGGGCTGGATTAGGGGGGAGGGAGCTAGCCGGGCAGCTGCCCGGGGCACCAACCAATGGGGGGGCACCTGATTAAAGTGGTAAGGGGTGCCGCGCACCTGGGGCCAGGCTGCACATGCGCCGCACGCCCACTGCCCAAGGCGCAACTATGGCTCGGTCCGGCACTGCCTAAGAAACCAGAGAAGCTAGCAAACAGGAACAGCAAAGGGAGTTTAGAGAGGGAGCTTGAAAGTCAGATTCACCTAACATAAAACACAGCTCTTATTTTGAAATAAATTTACTAGCGTCCACACAGCCAAACCGCTATTTCGAAAGTAAATTGAAATAGCAGAGCGCTTATTTCGAATTTGATGAACCTCATTCCACGAGGAATAATGCCAAATTCGAAATAGCTATTTCAAAATAAGTGCTGTGTGCACACATATTGAAATAGTGGGCCTCCAGCCTTCCCAGGGTGCCCTGGTGGCCACTCCAGCCTCAACCAAGAACACTCCTCTGCCTCCCCTCTACCCGGAGCCCTTAAAGGGGTTGACACAGGCTATAATGCCTGTGCCAGCTCCAATCCTACCAGCCCAGAGCCAGCAGTCACTGCCCCGACCCAGTGGCCCGAAAACATGAGCCAGCAAGCCACTGGCAGCTAGCCCTCCACTGCTCCCCAGAAGCAGTCTGCCAGCTCCAGGAGCCTGCCAGGGCCTGGAGAAGGCGGGTGCCTTCCTGGTACAGGGTGGAGATCATGGACCTAATTCAGGTTTGGAGGGGATACCCCCAACATCCATGATCTCCGCACTAGATGGAGGAACGTGGCTGTTTACGGCAGGATAGCTGCCAGCCTGGCCACCAAAGGCCACATGCGAACTCAGGATCAGGTTTGCATGAAAATCAAGTTGGTCCGGCGAGACCCCCCAACCCTGAGCCCTGAGATTTCCCTCCCCCTTCTTCCCCTTGTTTCCCCACTCCAGCTCCCTCCTCCCAGGTTTCCCCCTCCCCTCTCCCACCCTTTCTCTCCCCTCTCCTGCCTCCTTTCCCCAGTCTCACCAGAGTTTCATTCCCCGTGCCCCAGTTTTGTTAAATAAAGAGAGTTTGTGTTCATGAAAATATGTGTATTTTATTTGACATCAGGAAGGGGTGTTAGGGAGGAGTAAGTGGAAGGACGTGAGGGAGGAATCAGGTACAAACCCCGACTGGGGCAGACCAGGGAGGCTTTTAGTGCTCCGCAGACCGGGGAGGCTTTTAGTGCTCCTCAGGGTGGAAGCTCTCCTGTAGGGCCTCCTGGATACTGACAGCCCCCCAATGGACCTCCTGGATGGCAGCCTGCAGAAAGTGCAGCCAGGCTCGCAGCAACATGTCCAAGAGAAGCACCAGAGTGCCCAGGGGCAGCTCTGGCTCCATGTTGCAGAGTGCTGTAGTGTCCCGAGTGAGGGCAACCAGAGTATGCAGAGACAAAATGCTTTGCTGTCCCGCATTGAGGTAGGCAAGCAAGCAGGGAAACCTGAGAACCAGCTATCTGGGGTGGAGGGGTCCCTTTAAGCACAGGCCTCAGATAGCCTCAGGCAGCAGCCCCACACAGTAAGCCCTGACCTGGTGCCCTGCCAGACCTGGTTCCAGACAGCCTTAAATGCGATTCAACATCTACTCAGTGTGGATGCACTATTTCAAAATAGCAAAATGCTATTTCAAAATGCATTTTTTGTGTAGATGCATTATTTCGAAATAACTTATTTTGAATTAACTATTTTGAAATAAGATATTTTGAAACAACGCTGTAGTGTAGACATACCCTTATAAACATTTCGGTTACTAGGTACATTTACTGCCATTAAATATGACAGTTCCTGCCATTTCCTTCATTTTAGTGCCAAACTTGAAAAAGGGTTTCAAAGATCCTTTGCAAAAGATCAAAGGAGATGGCAATCACATTCAAAATGGCAACTATAGACTTTTAACCTTTTCCCTTCCAACACTGGCTATTTCCAGCTAAGGGGAATGCTATAGAAAACATCACTCCTAGGATAAGTCTCATACAAGTACGAGTTTGGCAAGAAAGCTTCATGACACTAATATCTCTGACCTCACATTTTTCCAGATTTTATCGGCAGGGGAATTATTTATTTAAATACATTATGAAGGCATAGACACAATTTTACCAGCAGCAGCTGGCCAGCAAAACCCAGAGTTAGGAGACTGATAGCAGACTTACTCATAGAAACACTAATTTTACAAGTGTAATTATAATTTTTTTCTCAGCCTTTGCTTCCTACTTGTCAATAATGAACAATTAGTGAAGAGTAAGGCTATTTGTGTAGCCAGATGTGTATATTTTTGTTATAGTTGAATGAAAATATCTCTATGTAGAGAAAATCTTTTCCCGTATCTCCTTTATTTATCAACTGATTTTGATGAAATTTGAAATTATCAGAGTTTTCCTTTCTTTCATTTTTAGAGGTGCCTCATATTATGAGGCCCTAAATTATAGCTTAGTTAGCTCATTCCTTAAACCAGCACGGAGGGCTAAGGGAAGACTACAGGTGCATAGGAGCACATGGCTCAGACAGCAACATCCCTTAGCAGAGGATCTATAAAGAGGACAGAATAGAAGTTTATGGAATGCAGACAGCGAACTTAAGAGAAATAGTCAAATGAAAAAGTCCCATTCAGTAACCTCATATATAGGCAGAAAAACTAAATATTGACACATTTTGTAAGTATTTATATAAAAATGCTTAGACTAAATGCTAAGCATAGCCACATCTAAGGCACCTCTATATTTATGGGAAGATAGATGCTCCAGTTGATCTTCTAGCATCTAATTTAGCAGGTCTAGTCTAGACCTGTAAATTGAATGCTGAGGGCAGCCCCCACTGACATTCGGAACTCTTGCTTTTGCAAGGAGTAAGGGAAGCCAATGGGAGCATTTACTCCTGTCGGCTTCCTACTGTATAGAGACCCCCCAAGTCTTGGCTTACGGTCAGCCAACTGCAGCTACGCATTTTGCATAAGTGGAGTTGCATTCCTTAAGTAGACCTTCCTGGTCTAGTATAGACCAGACCTTAGAGGCAGGTGACCCAGGCAATGTGTGAATAGCTCTGAGGATTATGCTCATACTGCTGGTCACAGTTATCAGCGGTGAGTGCAGTTTTGGAGGCTCAAGCTCATTAAAACATATCTTTGATTGATGATGGCTGATAAGTGGCTGGCATCACTTGCTGTTTTATCACCTGAAAAAGCCATTGGCCAGTCTTTGAATTTCTCTGATGCTGTACTTCAGTTTGCAAGGGCAAAGGCAATAAAGGACTAGGTTTAACACCATAAGGACGTCACTTGCCATAACACTATTTAATACTGGTCCTCCCAGTGTTGTTGCATGCTTCAGTTTCTTGATATCAGTACAGTTTGTTATTCTTAAAATTAAAAAGCTTCTATAAACTTATAGGAAATTATTTTTTCTATTTGTTTATATATGCATGGATAAATCCAGATTTACAGATATTAGCCTGCAATTTTTTCATATAAATTAGATAACAGGAATAAATCTTGCATGCAAATTGTACTTCAAAGTTGTAAAATTGACTACAAATGCAATTTAAAAAATTAGGTACTCAAAATTTTAATAAATTGGGGGAGCAGGAGGAGGAAGTATGCTGGAGATGATCCCTGCCTGGAATGCCATTTGGTCCACAGTCAGCCCTGATACTAAAATGGAGGAACTGGAGTGCCTGGTATTAAATGGAGATACTGATATAATAAGCATCACAGAAACTTGGTGGAACAATGATAATCAATGAGACCCAGTAATAGCAGGATTCCAAATATATATAATAATAGAGTTGGTTGTGTGGATAAGAGCGTAGCACTGAATGTGAAAGAAAGCACAGAGTCAAATATAGTAAAAATCTTAAATGAACCAAAACAGTACCATAAAATCTCTATGGATAAAAATACCATGCTTAAATAGTTAATAGGAGTATTTACTGACTACTTGACCAGGATAGTGATAGTGACCGTGAAATGCTCAGGGAGATTAGAGAGGCTACAAAAATAGAAAACTCAATAACTACATGGGATTTCAACTATCCCCTTATTGACTGGACTGAATATCAACTCAGGATGGGATACAGAGATAAAATTTCTAGATACCATTAATGACTGTTTCTTGGAGCAACCAGTCCTGGAACTCTCAAGAAACAATTCTTGATTTAGTTCTAAGTGGTTCACAGGATCAGGTCCAAGAGATGAATGTAGCTGAACCGATCAGTAATAGCAAACATAATGTAATTATATTTAACATCCTTGTGAAGAGGAAAATACCAAAGTGGGGATGGATTAGAGTTGTTTGGAGCCCCTGGGCTGGAGCAAGTGAAAGCTCTTCCCCTCTTCCTCCTGGAGTCCCCCCTCCCCTCCCGACACCTGCATTCCAGCTGGGGGTCAGGAATGACCCATGGGCAGAGCAGGGCAAGCTCTTCTTCCCC